TAAAGTTGCAAGAGAATCGAAGACTAACCCAAAAGGATTCTTTCAGGTATACAGAAGTAAGATCAGGGACAAGATAGGCCCCACCTCAAAAGTTCCTCGGGTCAGCTCACTGACAGTGATAAGGAAATGTGTAGAATTTTTAACACATACTTCCTCTCAGTTTTTACACAGGAGGATACCAGTGATATTCCAGTAATGATAAATTATGTAGAACAGGACGATAAAAAACTGTGCACTATTAGGGTCACAAGTGACATGGTCCTTAGGCAAATAGATAAATTAAAACCTAACAAATCCCCAGGCCCTGATGAACTGTATGCAAGGGTTCTAAAGGAATGTAAAGGGGGAGCTTACAGCACACCTTTGGCTAATCTTTTCAACATATCACTACAAACTGGCATGGTGCCAGATAAGTGGAAAATGGCAAATGTGATACCTATTTTCAAAACAGGTGACAGGTCCTTAGCTTCGAACTATAGACCAATAAGCCTAACCTCCATAGTGGAAAATTTATGGAATCAATAATTGCCGAGGCAGTTCGTAGCCACCTTGAAAAGCATAAATTAATCAACGAATCTCAGCATGGTTTTACAAAGGGACGTTCCTGCCTTACGAATTTATTAACTTTTTTCACTAAGGTATTTGAGGAGGTAGATCATGGTAACGAATATGATATTGTGTATATGGACTTCAGTAAGGCTTTTGACAGGGTCCCACATCAGAGACTATTGAGGAAAATTAAAGCACATGGAATAGGAGGAGAAATTTTTTCCTGGATAGAGGCATGGTTGACAAATAGGCAGCAGAGAGTTTGCATAAATGGGGAGAAATCAGAGTGGGGAAGCGTCACGAGCGTGTTCCACAGGGGTCAGTGTTGGGCCCCCTGCTGTTCACAATCTACATAAACGACATAGATGAGGGCATAAAGAGCGACATCGGCAAGTTTGCCGATGACACCAAAATAGGCCGTCGAATTCATTCTGACGAGGACATTCGAGCACTCCAGGAAGATTTGAATAGACTGAGCAGTGGTCGGAGAAGTGGCAGATGCAGTTTAATTAGCAAATGCAAATTTCTAAATGTTGGACGACAATAACCATCCCACATATAAACTAAATAAGGGTAGATTTTAAATATTAGGGATTGCGAAAAAGAATTGGGGATTCGGGTTAGCAGTAATCTGAAACAAGACACAGCTGCATAAGTGTTTTTTCGCATAAAGCTAATAGAATCCCATGGCTTCATATCAAGAAGCATAAATAATAGGAGTCTCAGGTGTTCTTCAACTCATACACCTTGGTTAGCCTCATTTAGATTATGCTGCACAGTTTTGGTCACGTATACAGAATGGATATAAATCTCTGGAAAATGTACAAGGAGGATGACAAGATGATCCCATGTATCATAACCTTCCATATGAGATAGACTAAGGGCCCTGAAATCTGCACTCTCTAGAAAGACGTAGAATCTAGGGGGATATTGATGAGGTTTTATAAGTGGAAGACAGGATTAATTAAGGGGATAAATAGTGTCTGATAATATCTAGGCCTAGACAGGACTCGCTAGCATGTTTTTTAAGTTGGAAAATTCATGATTCAGGAGGGATATAGGAAAGACTGTTTGGTAATTAGGTTGGGGGACTGAGTTGAACAAACGCCCATATGTACCGTTATAGAGGCCAGAACGTTGTGTAGCTTTAAAAAATAGGTTGGATAAATACTGATTAGATTGGTGGTTGAGTTTAGAACCTGATGCTTTGCTAACGGGTCGTTGCCGTGTTCCTCCCTTGAGTCAATGTGACCTGACCTGACTAGGTTGGGTGCATTGGCTTAAGCCGGTAGGGACTTGGACCTGCCTCGCATGGGCCAGTAGGCCTTCTGCAGTGTTCCTTCGTTCTTATGTTCTTATGTTCTTATGTTCTTAAACAAAAGTACCAACCACTCCAACACTATATCCCCCCCTTCTTTTAACATTAATATTGTTATAATATTGTTATAATAATAATAATAATAATAATAATAATACAAATGTAATAATAATAATAATAATAATGAGAGCTTCAGAATGCCACCAACTCAGTGAACTGTTTACCTTGGTATGCGAGTATTTCTCTCATGCTTTGCTTAAATTTTTTACAGTCATTTGGCCAAATTCTGTTTTTCTAAGCATGGGTCCTAAGAAAGTATAAGTGTAAAGGACAGTGTTGAGAAGAAAAAGAGGATGATTTCCATGGAATTAAAGCTAGAAATCATAGATAAACAAGTGAGGTGTGCAGGTTTCGGGTTGAGGGGGAACGGCTTATAACTTACGAATTTTGTAGCTGCAATTTTGTCCGAACTGGCAGCCTTGCCATGCCTTATCACACTGTGTATGCTACTAGGGTTCTTAGATCTCTCAAACCAGCCTTTGCTGGCCTTAATTCACAAATATCGGTACAGTGGTCCCTCAATAATCGTCCAGCCTGAAAGTCATCCATTTCGGAAATAGTCCCGTTATTTCGTCTAAACATTGGCTCACAAATGGCCCGTTAACTGGCTAATCGTCTTTCGTCCTGGACGCGTACTTACGGCTCTGAGCCGCCTCGGCCTCCCTTCCCAGCCAGTGTGCCATTGTTTACCAGTGAGCAACTGTCCCCTCACGTGTTCAAACGAAATATTTCATAATACATGTATTCCATTCATTTTAGTGACTGCAAGTGCTAAATAAGCTACCATGGTTCCAAAGAAAGCTCCTAATAAAGAAGGTGAGAAAAACATCATTGAATAATATGAAAGGGGCGTACGTGTGGCCGAACTGTCCAGGATGTATAACAAACCCCATACAACCATATCTTCCATCGTGGCAAAGAAAAAGGAAATCAAGGAAGCTGTTGTTGCTCGGAGAAAATTGTGGCCAGATTGTGTCCACAAGAGGGATTTTGAATGGTTTGTGGCTGACCCTGATGAGCCTATTTGAGTTGTGAAATCTATTGTGGCATTGGGGAGTTCCATGGGGTTGGATGTGAGTTTGGAGGATGTGGAAGAGTTGGTGGAGAACCACAACTAAGAGCTAACCACTGAGGAGCTGCAAGAGCTTCAGCAGGAACAGCAACAGACTGGAGCTCAGAATCCTGCTGCAGAGGAGGAAGAGAGATGGAAGAAGGTGCCTTCTTCAGAAATTAAGGAGATTTTTTAAATATGGGGTAGGATGGAAAGATTTATGGAGAAACATCACCCTGAGAAGGATGTTGCAAGCCATATCGGCAACTTGTACAGTGGCAGAGTCTTGGCCCATTTTAGGAAAGTTTTAAAGAGACGCCAGAAACAGAGCTCTCTGGACAGTTTTTTTTTTGCGAGACAGGACTCCAGTGACTCTCAAGCTGGTCCTAGTGGCATTAAGAAACAAAGAAGAGAAGTAACCCCAGAAAAGCACTTAGTACCTGAGGTGTTGATGGAAGGGGATTCCCCTTTCAAAGAGTAACTAATGCAATCTGTCTCCTCCTCCAGTCTTCCATACACTAAGAAGAATCGCCAATAAAGGTAAGTGTTATGCTGTTAATGTTTCATTCATCATGTGCCATTGTAGTGTTTATGTACTACATCTGTATTTCATGTAAAAAAAATTTTTTTTTTAATACTTCTGGGTGTCAGGAACGGATTAATTGTATTTACACTATTTATGGGGAAAATTGATTCGAAAATCGTCTATTTCGATAACAGTCCCACTTCCAGAAAAGGATTATGGACGATAATTGAGGGACCACTGTACTCGTTGCAGGCAATTTCTTTACGAGATTGTCATGCAACTGCCTAGCCTTTTCACAAATAAGTGACTGCCTAAGATTACCTCCTGCTAATTGTTTCTTGTTGATCCACACCAACAATAACTTCTCAACATCTTCAAGTATTGGAAATCTCATTTTTGTCAGCATATTTACCCCCTTTGCAACAACAGCTTCCTTGATTTCCTTTTTCTTGGCCGCGATGGAAGATATGGTTGTATGGGGTTTCTTATACATCCTGGCCAGTTCAGCCACACGTACGCCACTTTCATATTGTTCAATGATGTTTTTCTTGAACTCAATCGTATTTCTCACCTTCTTTACCAAAGGCATGGCACTAGGAGCTTTCTTTGGAGCCATGGTAGCTTATTTAGCAGTTGCATGCACTAAAATGAATGGATTATGAAATATTTTGTATGAACAAGTGAGGGGACCGTCACTCACTGGTAAACAATGCCACGCTGGCTGGGAAGTGTGAGGCGGCTTGGGCCCATGAGTGCGCATCTGGGACGAATGACTATTTGCAAGTCAAACGACGATTTGCGAGTCAATGTTTTGACAAAAAAAATTACGATTTCCAAAAAATTACGACTTTCGAGCCTTACGATTATCGAGGGTCCACTGTACATGCATGTGTAGTGTGACGTAAGTAGAAGCAGCAAGACATACCCGAAATCTTGCATTTACAAGACAGGAAAAAAGAGACACCAGCAATCCTATCATGTAAAACAATTACAGGTTTCCATTTTACACTCACTTGGCAGGATGGTTGCTGTCTACCAACCTACTACCTAGTTCTATTTTGTTCCGAACTCTCTAAATGTCCAAACCACATCAACAACCCTCCTCAGCCCTATGGATAATGTTTTTTGTAACCTCACACTTCCTCCTAATCTCCATGATACAGATTCTCTGCATAATATTTACACCACACATTGCCTTCAGATACATTTCCATTACCTCCAGCCTTCTTGTTGCAACATTTACAACCCTTGCAACATTTACAACCCTTGCAACATTTACAACCCATGCTACATTTACAACCCATCCTCTTTGCTTACATGGATAACGTTCTTTGTTTCCACAAACTCCTCAGTGCACCACTCATTTTTTTCCCCTCATCAATTCTATGATTCATCTCTTCTTTCACAGACCCATCTGCTAATAAGTCCACTCCCAAATATCTAAATACATTCACTTCCTCCATACTCCTTCTGGCAACATTTAGGCATCTTCATACCAACTTGTGGGTATTGTAAACCATTTTGATATTCATACTCCTCCTCTCCTATCTGAAATCCAACTTTTCATTACCTAACTTTTTTATCCTCATCACCTTGCTCTTTCCTATATTCACTTTTAATTTCCTTCTTTTACCTTTTACAATGGTAGAAAATGTTTTTCCAGAAGTAATAACACCAAAAAATAAAATAAACTGATGCCATACTAACCGAATTATGCAGGCATGAAAGGGGTGGGAAGAGCTAAGCAAAAGCAATTTTGTCAACTTTGAGGCCTCTTTTTCAGCCTATTCCTGTGCTTAAACTAACCTATTTTGCTAGTATGCATTCCATACTATCATTGACTGCAAAAAAACTGCCCCACACATCTTATAATATAAAGCTCCTCTATGTAGTGAATATGTTTTTAATGTGACTGAAAGAGTCCATCCAAAATTTACCATCAACCACTGTATGTACTATAAAGGCTTTTCCATGCATATTAAATTTTGGCTGTGCCTTTACAATCACATTTATAAAAAATTGCATTTATACATCTTGAACTGACACTTATTTATTGACTCCTAGTTAAGGTACCATAATTATAAGCCCTAAACACTAAATTTATCTATGAAATCCACTAATTTTCAGCTAGTTGTAAATTAAGGCAACTCTTAAAATCATCTATGTGAGAATAACAAAAGTACAGAGACTACAAGTGTGTGAAATATATAAAGTTTACTTTTCAAGTACATATACCATTCACAGGCTGCACCACAATGTAAACTCTGTTGCTTTACATTTTTTCTTGTGACACTTACTTACCTTACTTTAAAAGGTACATGTAGTAGGCATTAATGTACATAGAAAAATCTATTAAAATATTAATAAACAGGGAAAACTAATAAAAAAAATAATCAGTGGCATATGCTTCTTGTACAACTCACCCAAACATTGCCATCAAAGCCTTTAACTATGGAGAACAGCGTTCCATCACGTCCAAACTCTATGGTGTATGCTGTTACATATTCATTGGATTCTGTACGCCCCTGAGTGGCAATGGCAGTTACGTTCATGGTATTGCCAAGATCCACCTCAAGATATTGAGAGTAGTCAGCAGTTTTTGCTGTCCATGCAGTAGTTTCTGTTAGGAAGAAGCAGGGGTTGGCTCACATACACAAAGCTACAAAAAACATGCAAAAAAAAAAAAAAAAAAAAAAATTAAAATTAAAATGCAATAAATTAATAATAGCATATTTACAAGACCATGCTCATAAACACATACTGTACATTATATAAGCTTTTACTGCATGCTGTGCACTATGTTGTAAATACTCTACTACAGATACTCAAACAGAATGCTGTCACAGTCTTTTAAATCTGCAAAACTGAAAAAGGAAAATAAACAAGATGAAATTCACGGGTCTAATCATGGACAGTGAACTGAAATTTAATGCTCATGTCCAGCATATGTTAATGCAAATAACTAAGACTGTAGGGATACTCTCTAAAATTTGCTATCATGTTCCACATTCTATGCTAAGAATTATTTCTTCTTCCCACATTTACTCATAGCTCACATGTAGGATGTATAACTGGGGATCCACTTTGGCAACCTACCTTAAATCAATCATTACCCAACAAAAGACAGCTCTCAGAACAATAAAAAATTGTAATTATAGGCAGTATACTATGCCCTTATTCAAGTCCTTAAGCCTACTTAATACAAATGCCACATCCACATCCACTCCACATCTTTAGAACATTACACCATAATGATGATACTGACCTAGGAGAACACAAAGCATCACACGAGAAACAGATACTACCTCTTTCATGTCCCTTGTTTTCATTTGAACACCTTCAGAAATTTTATGCAAACTAAATGTGTTTTGGTTGCTGTGCAACCTCAGGAAGGTATCTCTGTATCTCATAAGCCCAGTAACCTCACTGTCAATGCTCACAAAACAGTATGTGGCATAAGTAGTTATATATCAACACTGAAGTTTTGAAGCCAATCAAAAGTCACTGACAAAATATTTCATGATAACAAATACCCTAATTTGTTCAATAAAAAAAAAAAGCAAACTGGCACCTACATAGCCCAAAATCAATACAAATCTTCCACTAAAAGACACCAGAATTGAAAGTTTAAAGCCAATCTAATGACAAATTCTGTATTTATCATGTAGACTAGTACAAGTTGGCCATCACTAATCCAGCAATCAGCTATCCAGTTCCATCAGTAATTCGGCAATAATGTCAGCTAGCGTAATTTCAAATTTCATCATTATACTGACTCAAATCATTATACGTACTGACTCAGAAATTTTGCAGATGGTTGTAAATCCACAGCAGCAAGCCAGTAGAGGAGAAATCAGTGATGAAAATGAGGAAGATGTAGAAGTCTTTCTATTGATAGGTTAATTAAGTGTATTCTAACCTAACCACTCTGTAATCCGGTAAATTCACTAATGCGGCACACTACAGGTCCCAATGATGCCGGATTAGTGATGGCTGACCTGTATTGCAATATATAATAACACTTTAGTCTTAAGCTGTTCATTATCAACATCACAGGTTTAAGGTATAAGAACCAGTACAGCCTCTCTCCTCACTAACCCTTTCAGGGTCCATGCCGTAGATCTACGGCTTTATGTTTAGGGTCCAAACCGTAGATCTACGCCATGAGCTCAGCTCACTCTGATAAGCTTTGAGTGGTAAATTTGGGCCCAGATATGAGAGAATACATCTATGTGGTATGTGTGCACCACATAAGACAAATCCTGCAGTACATAGTGCATAATGAGAGAAAAAAACAGACCGTGATTTTCGATTAAAACAGCGACTTTGTAGCGTTTTTTCGTGTGTTTTTATAGTTGTATTTGCGATTTCTTTGTCTCAATTGATAGAATGGAAGACATATTACAGAAATAGAGAAGATTTTGATTGGTTTTAGCACTGGAAATGGCTTGAAACTGAGCTCAAAGTAGCCGAAATGTTAAACTTTTGCCAATGTTCAAGAGTAAACAAACAACCTCACACGTCTAATACACACCAGCTGGTGGGTCTAACATACATTCACAAATGTGGTTATGATATTTATACAATTATTACAATACTGCATAACAGTAAATCTTCTATTTTTTGGTTTGAATAAAAATTCATTATGTGAATAAAAAATAAAAATGGAATTCATTTGTAAAGCCTCAAAACATAACTAATGAACAGAGGAAATGTTAATTTAGTGCCAGGAATACCTACATTGTTTATTCTGGACCCTATTTTGAAATTGGAATATTTTGAACTTTGTGCTAAATTGGCCAAATTACCAATTTCCAATCACTTTATTTTGTAGTTGACACAGATGACCTGGTGATTTCTTGTTCTCAATCGATAGAAGTAATACTAGTGAAATAGCTAAGAATTTGGTCGACTGGAATAATGTAATTGGCCTAAAATGGGAGTCAAAGTTGGCAAAATCGCCGATTCGTAAATATCGCTGACACATCAAAATTCGCGAGAGCATAATTTCGTAAATTTTCCATCAAATTTCATACTTTTTGTTTTATTACCTTCAGAAAAAGGTTCTCTACCATTTCATAGAAAAAATAACAAAAATTTTTTTGAAAATTCTTGGACCCTGGTGCGCATTTTGAAATTTGGCCTCTGGACCCTGAAAGGGCTAACGATAGAGTTCAATCATAAGACCATGTCGTTAAATAGATTTGTTGCTAAGTGAGGAGCATACTACAGTATAATGGCAATGACCTTGTGCCCACCATCTTTGATACTGTTTTAATGTCACCTTTGCACCATTTATAACATTTCTGGTATATTTTTAAATGTTTATAAAGTAGTGTACTGTATATTGAAATAAACAGAATAGAGGAAATCAGCTCTAATATACATTATTTAGGAATGAAAACTGGTCAGACAGTCTGTCGTAAGTCCGAGGCGTCGGTAAACGAGTACGTCGCTAAGTGAGGAGAGGCTGTATTTCTATTTTCCCAATTTCTTTAATAAAACTGGGAAATTAATAGGATACACAACCAAAAATCAATCCAACCTGTTCACCTAATAAGACAAAAAAAAAAAATTAGGTTTCAAACTAAAACAGAAGAAGCATTTTCCTCAAACTTGTACCCATACTTAGAGAGGATGTGGCTTTGGACTGATGCCTTCACCTAACATCATGCCCCTTTCCTTCACCAGGCCCTGCCAACACCCATCCTAGGCCCTGCTGACAATCATCACAGGTTCTGCTGACACCCATCCCAGGCCTGGCTGTTACCTATCACAGGCTCTGCCAACACCCATCCCAGGCCCTGCTGACACCCATCACAGGCCCTGCTGACACCCATGATCACAGGCTCTGCAAACACCCATCACAGGCCCCACTGACACCCATTTCCAGCTCCCACCTCCTCCTACCTTCACTCATTTCCCAAAGTTCCCCTTCACCCACATATCACCTATTTGCCTCTACCCATCCCTTTACCCACACCCATCTGACCATAAGCTCCATATGATATGATACTCAGGGTGGACGAAACTCGGGGTTCCACTGTAATAACATCTATGGTATATAATAGAGAAAGTGTAACTGCTGAGGCAAAGTAATTAGCTATACCTTGTACTCAAAGTCTAGTCTACATAAGACTAAGGCTGAATAAAACAAAATGCTTATCAGACCAAAAGTAACAAAATTTTAAATAGATTCAGTCAACTAAGACATGTAGCTGTTAGGGAAACAATCAAAGAGGAAGCCGAGAAATTCAAATTTGTTAGATGTAACGGGGAAACTATACAGGGAGAGCGAGAAATTCTTGTATAATAGGGTCACAGTAAAGTTACAGAACTTACTTTGAATACAGAAACTTGAAATCATGTGTTATGGCTAGATTACAAGTGCAGTTAATAGCAAGCTGTAACATGGCAGCCACCTGTTGATGGCAGCAAAAACCAATGGCAACATCTTCCACAAAGAGAGAAGAGCAAAATCCTTACAGAAGGCCTGAGGTGTAGTCCATTGGTGGCAATCGGTAACCAGGTAATCTTACACACACATCCATATAGTACTCCTTCATTTTGACTGAATCATGGGAAAGGATGTTCCTGATGAAAACACACCCATAAGATTGTCAACAAAATCTTACAGAAGAAGAATACACAAGGAGCTGTTAAAATGTGTACAACAACTGGAACACAACCAAGTCCAACACATAGCATACTTACCAAGTAAAACTACAGTACAACTAAAACAAGACAAGAATATATACAGGACATACTTATAAAAAGTTAAAAACTTTGCTATCAACCAAATTATTCCTTCAAAATATCCACATTGACATACATAAATGGAGCAAAACTGTTTCTTAGAGATGACTCTTTTGGCCACTACTGAGGTAAAATCCCTTAGGTCATAATAAAATTAGGAGTCGAAGAGGTATGGGGTAGGTTTAAAAATGTGTTAGAGTGTTCAGCAGAAGTTTGTGATTACAGGAAAGTGGGTGCGGGAGGGAAGAGGAGCGATTGGTGGAATGATGATGTAAAGAGAGTAGTAAGGGAGAAAAAGTTAGCATATGAGAAGTTTTTACAAAGTAGAAGTGATGCAAGGAGGGAAGAGTATATGGAGAAAAAGAGAGAGGTTAAGAGAGTGGTGAAGCAATGTAAAAAGAGAGCAAATGAGAGAGTGGGTGAGATGTTATCAACAAATTTTGTTGAAAATAAGAAAAAGTTTTGGAGTGAGATTAACAGGTTAAGGAAGCCAAGAGAACAAATGGATTTGTCAGTTAAAAATAGGAGAGGAGAGTTATTAAATGGAGAGTTAGAGGTATTGGGAAGATGGAGGGAATATTTTGAGGAATTGTTAAATGTTGATGAAGATAGGGAAGCTGTGATTTCATGTATAGAACAAGGAGGAATAACATCTTGTGAGGAAGAGCCAGTTGTGAGTGTGGAGGAAGTTCGTGAGGCAGTAGGTAAAATGAAAGGGGTTAAGGCAGCCGGGATTGATGGGATAAAGATAGAAATGTTAAAAGCAGGTGGGGATATAGTTTTGGAGTGGTTGGTGTAATTATTTAATAAATGTATGGAAGAGGGTAAGGTACCTAGGGATTGGCAAAGAGCATGCATAGTTCC